CTTTGTTAGTTTCTTATCATAAATCGAATGATAATATGACTTGTTATGTATATCAAATAATCTTCTAGCATTTGCATAACCAACAATCTGTAAGTGCACCAATTGCACTAATACATGACTTTTTAAATCATTTTCATGAGATCAAAAAGATTCTTTCTCTATGTTAAGCAGTTTCAAAACCATTGGATACTCAATGGAATTGCTTTAAGACCTTTTAAATCCTTCAAGGATTTTCACATAACCTTAATCGTCTAGCTAGACATAATAATCATTCATTATGCATATTCAAGTATTTCATCTATTGCCAGACTAAAACAAGTTTCATTGCATCCACCACTGGAAAATATATCTCCATTTAATAATGTCAGGATTTTTGCGAAAACCCTTTATGCCCCGAGGCACAAACTGCACTTTATATCTTACGGTTATACTTTCGCACAATGATTCATATGTACCACACTGACATTAAATTTTGATCCATGAACTATAAGATCAAAAACATCTTATTTTCTAAGTGAAACAAAATATACTTGAATAGTGCCAATCATTTATCTGTCCACACTATATGACAGATTCAAATTTAAGATCCTCATAAAAATTTATAGCATTGAGTGCTACTTCATATCAAAGATACCGTCGACGGTCGTTTTTGATATCGATTCCAATATGACATAACTTATCGAGATCTCTTCATTTTTCATCATTTTCAGGTACCTGAACCTTTGCCTAAGGTTTTATGAAGTGTTATGTCATAGTTCTCTTTCAAAGAACTTACCTCTTTATCATGACCATTTTGATAATTTGCTCCCCTCCTTCCTCAAGGAGTTTTACGTTGGAATCGATTGGTCTATCACGCTTCTGCGTACTATAGACTCTGTCCTTCAAGGACTATTTATTGGAGCATTTGCAACTTAATTAAAATATTGGATCAGGAAATACATCTAGCAAATTATTTGCAACATTTTGTAAATGAATTATCTCTTGAATTCACATTTTTTTAAAACGAGCATCTAGATAATTCACCTCACACATAATTTTCAGCTACTAAACACATCTCCCCCTAATGTTAGGAAATCTAACATTTACCCCCGACCTCATTTGGGGATCCATCTTTGTGCATGGTGGAGCAATAAAATGATATGTGCACATATCAAGTTTTAGATGGAAATTATTTGATTTCTGACCCTGAACCAATTGTGATGGGAGAACCTTGTTGGCTTGGTGCATACATGTTAAATAAACTCATCTCATACCAAATTTTATTTGAGAGATTTGTTCTCATAATCAATGGTCTAGCTATAATTGGAGGCAAACAATTTATGCTAACAACCAATATTATCAACATAATTTTATAGTTTGGAACTGTGCTCTTAATTTAACAATTTGAGCAAACAACTTTACAAAAACCAATTTGTAAGTTGATACAAATGCACATGTGACCATACCATAAATGCATCTATTAAATCATAATAGTAAGTGGTCCACATGGCAGGTGAACGGGCCCATATTCACCTTTTTATATATTTCAAATAATTTCAGGAGATACAATCACAACCTTAGCTGGTACAATGATCATTTTATATGAGAACAAGCAACACAATGATCATTTTATATGAGAATTCTTGTAGAATATTTTATTTCTTCAACATATAGTCACGTGAATTCTCAATTTCTTTTGCATCACATCTGAACTAGAATGGTCAACTGGTTATGCCAACTAATATTTATTCTAGTAAACTTTTATAGTTTACTTTTGCATGTGATTCCTTCATCATGCCCATATCTTTATATAACAAACAAGAGAAAGGCGGGTAACCTTTTATGTAAATATTCATAACCCGCTTTGATTGTAGTAATCTGAAGATATTTAATCTTTCAGTAATTTACAGTCTCAATATAATAATTTTCAATTCCTTCGAAACTTAAAATGTTTCTTTTGAGACTTACTACAATCCCAATATTATGAACAATTTCATTCCTCCGG